GGCTGATTCAGTTCAGAAGGACTTACTGGGTTAAGCTCTGCATCACATGGAAGCACCTAGGCTGTTTTTAGACTTGAGCTGGCCAGTGAAGAAATAGAGCTGCATTTGCACATTGCTGTGTCTGAACTAACACTTGTTTACAGTTTCTAGATTAGATCTGGCTCTTGCCCTGCTGATTTGAAGCATGAAGATTTACTATGTAATTACCTTCACTTCGGTGTGTATATATATATATACACTCATATTCCAAAAAGTAAACATTAGAAAAGAGACATTAAGGGCAAATTCTCATTAAGTGCAAAAAGTAATGGATTACACAACAATAAACACCTACATTTATTGAATAAGGTAAATGGAAAGGATCAGATTACAACCTTGCTACAGCAAATAGTATCTTGCCTGTTTTACAGAAACTTCTAAACAAATCCATGCAAGCACCCACACAGGATATTTTGTTAAAAATAGGGTTTTTTGGTTTTGGTGTTGGTTTAGGGGTTTTTTTTGTTGTTGTTTTTTGTGTGGTTTTTTGGGGTTGGTTTTTTTTGGGTTTTTTTTTTTTTTTTTTTGAAAGAAAGCAGCACCCCATATTGAATTTCCATGAACACAAAACCCATGCCTACACTTCAACATCTAATAAATAGTTATCACTATTGGTTAGGTGATGAAAATGCCCAAACATGTGTAATAACTGTTCATTAATTAGTATTTGTATTCTCCAATTCATTAGCACTAGACTAACACCCAGAAGAACCTTTTGCCACTGTGTAACTTTCACAACTGGCAATAAATAATTCGGTCATGTTACTTACAAAGAATACATTGTACACACTGTTTCTTTACAAGACTTGTTTTACTCAAAGTAGTTATTGTTTAACATTTATGTTTCAGACTAAAAAGTACCCTGCAGAATGTGAGAGCAGGATCCAGACTTCAAGTCACAGAGCTGTACTTTGGGGCTTTTGGTACCAACTGTAACAAAAGAAAGACAGCTAAAAAAAAACCTCAGCATTTGAGAGAACAACAACAAAAAATCTTAGCAATGACAAAGAAATAGAAGAGAAATGTTAGCTGCATAACAGTTCCTCTAGTCAGAGCAATGCATTCTATTAACAGATTTACATTTTTAGTCCAAGTAAATTTACCATATAACAAACAAAATTTAGAAACTGGGGGTAAACATGACAGTACTTACGAAACTTAAAAATTAAAAATATCTCCTCTTTAAATATTATTTTTTTTGCTAAACATAGTTAAATTGTGTAGATGTAAGCAATACACACACCCCTATTTACACAAGTCACTATGTTTGGTTATTCACTAATAACCTTCAAATGCTAACTTATGTAATAAAAGACAACCTAATTATAGCTAGAAATTTTCTTCTAGAAGAAGAATTGATTGATGCGTTATTTCAGAAAAACAAATGTGATATTCTTATCTGCATCATCCAACTAACCGATAATATTTTATTTTACCAATGACTTTACGTCTTTCAAAGACTCAAATTATGTAAAAATAAGACAGGAGGGAAAAAACCCCTATTGAATATTACTTGTTTTTTACTGTAACCCCAAAATACATAGGGCATTTCTTAAAAATACATACATACCTGCTATTAAGCAATGCTTTGTAGCAACTGGAGACATGTGATGGCTATAGACTGTTCCCTCAAAGTGAAATACATCTGCAGGCTGATAAAAAGATTAAATTAATTACAGCGCCAAGTATGTTATCAGAATGTAAATCCTCATTATTAAGTATTTTTCAAGTAACAGCTACAAATGAGACTAATACAAATATTGCTATTCACATACTAACAATTTCTCTCCTGTTTAGAAACCAGATCATGCAAACATCGCAAAGTAATTAAGTCTGTTTCCAACGCTAGAACAACTACACCAGAGCTCAGACATGACCCAAAAGAAAGACCAAGAAAACTGGCTAATCAGAAGTATGAATGGAAATTATTTAAAAAATATAAAAAAATTTTAAAAAGCTAGCAAGAAAAAATAGCAAACAAGAAGGTTGTAATACGGAGGTATAATTCTGTCGACAGGAACGTGGCACTTAGGCTAAATTTAGAAGCTCCTTATCATTCACAAACATCACATACTATTTTAAATTCCTAAAAAAAAAAAAAACCAAAAAATCACAAACCCAACACCAAAAAAACCCATACAAAATTATTAGCTTCCTTGTGAGTGTTAAAAATTAATGAAATATAATATTGGCTTTAACAATCAGTACAATTACTTTCAGGCACAATTGATTTTGTTGTCTCATTCTAAAATATTGTATGTATAAAAAACCCCTTAAAACTAAGTTGTCTATTTCAAATACACGTTTTGGTGGCAGAACACGTCAATCAATAACCTTCCAATGAAGACTGTGTCTTTTAAATAATGCTCACAGAACTACCTGGAAAGTGAATTGAACTTTGCATTTATGAGAAGATTTAGTAACTGCAAACACAGTTTCACATCTCACAAAAAAAAAAAGGTCAAAAATTATTCTCTATTGTGTCCCTAGGATGATAGACCTCTTATTTTTTTTAAATTCTTTCACTATGCATGAAACACCATTCAAATAGCATCAGTGCAAATCCATTAATACATGCATACTGGAAACAGGATAAACTGCACTCCAGAATTCATAGTTCAACAATTAGATGTGAGGATTAGTGAGTCAAAGCAACCTAAAATCCTACAGAATCTGTCTACTTTAATAAAGCCACTTACATTGGTCAGCATTTTCTTAATGGTTTCTCTCATTCTCCACCAATTTTTAGAAATGGTGTCTGTAGTGCTTGCAACAGCAAAATTTTGGACCTGATGACCCTGAATGCCAAGATCACTGGTCCTTCAAAAGCAGTATTTAGGCCTTGGTTAGTAAAAATAATTACCCCTGCTGTATGCTACCATTACACCCAACAACCCCCAAGAATGAACTTCAGGCCAGTCCTTAGTGGGCAAGTTTACACAGCATAAATTCAACTAGCTGTATTCTTGTCCACAGCAAAAGCAGAAAGGAATTGTCCCAAGGGCTCCAAGCTCTCATACAGTTTAGACATTCAGGTCTTCAGAAACAGACAGGTACACACCAAGGTATGAATGAATGCCAGAACCACGCCACCCGCTGCTGCACCCACAGTTCTAACAATCAGCTGCTTTTCATCCTTCTGGATGCTTGGTCCTGTTGAGCTCTGGGTGAACTGCAGATGCAGAATGAATAATGTATACAAGCAAGCTGCAGAAATTCTCTCTTACTTGTAAAGTATTTGTATCCCATATTTTCAAGCTTTTATCAAATGAGCTGGATGTAAACATGCCAGTGTCATGAGGATACCACTGGACTGTCTCCACACTGAATCTATGTACATCAGGATGGCTCCTAAAATCAAGGAAAAGATTCCAGTTGATTAGAGTCTCGATAGTCATCTTATAATTATCTTGACATTTGATGACAAGTTGAAAACATAGTTTAAACTTTTTTTTTTTTTATTTGCACTGAAGTTTTCAAGAAGAACTAGTTGTTTTGGTGCCTCAATTATTCATCAACCAATGTTAATTACTCTGAAAAGCCCTCATTTCAAGAAACTACAGATGATTTACCTTTTCAAAATACGGTATCTGTAGCATATCTCAAGTTAAGACACTCAGTCTGAGGCATAAAAGGCACTGATGTCTTTTGAAATTTTTAAATTCTAATGTTTAAAGATCTAATGCTTAAAGCAAGGGTCTAACACTACAAACCTGTTATGCTTATGGAATTCCACTGTCTTAGATCCACTGAAAAATACAGTCATGTATACAGTTCAAAAAATTAATGATTATTAGCTAATAATTACAGCTACACAGTTATTGGAAATTCATGTATACTGAAGTCACCAGATAGCAGTGGGATGAGTTACTGAGAGTTAATTATTTTTGCATTCAGAAATGAAAGAGGAAAAACAATATGAAACTTTCAACTCAACTACGCACAGTAACAGAACGTAATACAATTAATAATACAGTAATAGTGGTGGGAAGAAGGGACACTAGAGCCAATTTTGACAGCTCCAGGATATGATTCAACTGACCAGGCCCTGAACAATACAGGTCATTTCACATACCTGCTAGGCCACTCATATCTGAGCTGGATCCACGTGGATCCAGCTTCAGGGCCCAAAACCATGCTCCCAGACTCAGAAGTACCATGCTGTTGTGGGTTAAACCTAGGCAGCTAAGAATCACCACAGCTGCTTGCTCACTCCCCCCCCACCCCCGCAGTGGGGGGAGAGAATCCAAATGGCAAAGGTGAGAAAACTTGTGGGTTGAGATAAAGACATTTTAATAAGTAAAAAGAAAGAAAACAAAACCCACAGGGAAAAAATAAAAAAAAAGAAAAAAAAGAAAAATAAGTGATGCAAAAGCAACCCCTCATGACAGGCTGACCAATGCCCAGCCAGACCCCGAGGAACAACAACCCCTGGAAACCCCCCCAGTTTTATCGCTGCACATGATATGGAATATCATGGTATGGAATATCAATATCCCTTTGGTCCGCTCGGGTCAGATGTCCCAGCTGTGTTCCCTCTCAGCCTCTGGTTCAGCCCCAGCTTACTTGCTGAGGGGGCAGAGTGAGGAATGGAGAATGCCTTGACACTATGCAAGCACTGTTCAGCCATAGCTAAAACATCAGTGCATTATCAAGACTGGTCACAAACCCAAAACATAGCATCATACAAGCTACTATGAAGAATATTAACTGCATCCCAGCCAGACACAGTACACATGCGAAAATAGTCCAACTGGCACCATCTGCAGCTAGTGAAGGGCTCACAAGATTTCTTCACGTCAGCTCTTATCTTTGCATTGTTCTCTCAAGTGTCCTGGCCTCCAAAGCGATAACTATTGCAGGGGTATCATTGTGTAAACACAGATCTTCTGTATAGATCTGGCACTAAACCTAAGCTAATAAACCTTCCTGCTTACTTGGGTTGCTAGAAAGCACAGAAGCCAGCATAGTAAGCAAGAGCTACTGAACAACTGTTGAGCTTAGTTTAATAACTCCTGCATTGCTTATCTCTGAAGCATACCCTAGAATGGCCTATTATTTTGCCACAGTGCTAAAAATAAACAGAATTTGTGCACTTATTCTACAGGGGGAGTCAAGCTAAAATTCTTCAGTACCTGTAGTGCCAGGAAATCAAGCCTGACTCAGCATGAACTTAGTCCTGCAGAGGCATTTGTATGCATTGTGCAGAAAAATCTAAACTCGTGGAACTCATTATCCCGGTACAATAAATGTAAGTGCACAACACTGGACTGTGTTCAGCACTGCATGAGAACAATCAATTCTCCCATAATCCAGAGGGCTGAGGAATGAACTAAAAAACTCCTGAGTAGCTCTGCAGGAATCACCTTTGATCTGGCTAGGCTTAGTAGTGGCCACATGCCATTCAGCCTGGCTTCATGTCTCACAACTGTATGTTATTCTCAGTTCATTCTATATGCAGAATTTCCCCATTACTCAGAATATGCCAATCTTTTCTACCAAAGCAAAATACGGAATTAATTCTGTGGACAGTAAGGTCACTGCCATTCATTGTTCCTAGACAGGTTTTGAGTAGAGGAGACTACCTTACACACAAGCATCAGGTATATATTATCTAGACGCTGGTACTGTTTGATTACTCTCAAATGCCAGTTTTTGCCACAGGACAGCATGGATCGTATGAAACCACGTAAAGCTGTGTGCTGACTCCCAGTGGAAGAAGGAAAGTTATTGTTTTTTGCAATAGTGGCCCTGCACTCTACATGAGAAACACTGGGTAAATTACAGCCTACCATCAGGAATTATCTCCTCTGATGTTCTAAACTACTGGACCCTCAGCAGGCCCAGTTCAGAATCTATTCAGAAATAGCTTCAAAGGGCCTCTACCAAGAGCTTATTCTTTACACAACTTCGAGACCAGAGTTGCATTGTGCTCTGCAAACCTGGAACACAGGCAAACTTTTGCAACACGTCATTATCATATACTTCAATGATAGGAGCCAGGCAGTCAGATGGAAAATGTTTCTTACTGGTAATTAAAAATTCATTTCTGATGTCAGGAACTCTGCATGAATAATATTCCAGTATCTGAAGCTGTATCTGCAGCTAATTAGCTACAATAAGTATTTAAAACACACTAGGAAGCTATATGAATACTAAGAATAAATAATTCAGGCAAAAAATCTACTATGATTACTTTAAGCAATAATAATAATAAGCCTATCATTTAGAACATTGTGTCACACAAAATCAGATTCTACTAGTATGATTTATGCCTCTGCTCAACTGATAAGAAATAAAAGATGCATCTACACAAATTAACATCTACTCAAGAAACAAACCACCAACTAACTATGCTCATAAACAAAATTTTCAAGTATGGAATATTTCTGCTGACCTAAGTGCAGTTAATGATGGCATTTGACATTTTTTATGGTGTGTCTTCTCAGCATGTATTTCTTCAGTTTGCTGTATCTGTTTCAGAATTCATTTCGGTTTTGAGATCTGAGATGTATAGTCATTACTTGTTCTTAATTACAATTTTAATTAATTTTGTTCAAGAAGTCCCAGCCATCAACACTTACCAAATGCAGCTTACTTGCACTAGATTCTGTTCCTACCCATTTGTTTTGATGCATGTTCTATTACCCTTTTTATTTCTTATGGTCCAAGACACCGCTTAGGCTTTTTATTGTTACAAATCTGTTCTGTTCTTGTCGATCTTACCCATGAAGCTCTGAGACCTCAAATAATTTGAAGACTAGGAAAAAATAAGGGGAAAATGTAGCTACTAATCTTTTACACAGTAGGATATATCTTAGTGTGAGCCTCAGATAAAGTCCTAACCTACTAGATAACCTTACAATGTAAACACAAGGAAAAAACAGCTTTTGCTGGAAGACTTAATGCCCATAATGGACAAATTGCCTGCAGGGAAAGCCTGAAAAATCAATAAAGGCTTTGAGTCTTTATATAGATTACACACAGTATGGGAGTACCCTGTTCTTCATAAAAATATATCCCATTTTTGTCAGTAACACATCTGTCTTCATTCAAACATGTTCTTAAGAGGTTCTGTATTAATTAGTTCTGTACCTGGTGAACACCTGGAGAACTTAAAATAGCTACTAGTAAAGCCAAGAGCAGGGAGAGGGGAAATAAAACCAACTGCAAATCTGTATTAGATTTTTTTCCAAATAGATGAACAGGGTTATGCAAAGATTATTTTCCTTTTGCTTAAACACATAATTATTCAAAGAGACATGTATTATAGGTATTTGGGTGATACAAGGAATATTTCTACAACAGTCCCAAAATTACTTTCTCATAGTTACTGGCATAAAGTCAGCAAATTTCAACATGAAACAATACAAAAACTCACAGGTGAGAAACTGTAACCTGGAAGAGGGCTGAAGATTTTTTTGTCTTTTTTCTAGTGTTAAAACATGAGACTGCAATACTAACTCTTACTTTTTTGTGGGGTCCACAGCAACACAAGCATCTCTACTTTAGTTTCCATATGAGTACAATCAACATCCTCCATTTTAACTTTTGCACTGCCAAAGATCTACTCAAACAATATCAGAGCGTCACTGTATATATATCGTAACTGTCAGAGCAGACAAATCAAGAAAAAACAATTAGCTCCTGCTACTTAGTAAATCACATAAATCCTCACAAAGTTTCTTGCCTTTTTTTTTTTTGCATGCCAAAAACCATAATGCATCATGCTAGCCTTCAAAGATTTCTGGCACTATTTTCTACAGTCTTTTTATCCTAGAAATAAGAACACACATTAATTTGTGAGTTTAATGCTAGTCACACAAGAGATATCAATATGAACTTTTAATAGTATTTTTGAGTACCTACCTTCCCACAGAACAAAGTGCTTTACATGTGTAACTTGGTTTTCTGCTCAAGTTTTCAAGGTCATAAAGTACAATAACACCATCTGACCCACCGGATAACATGCTGAAAGTGTTAATAAAGCACACAAGTTACAACACTCATGATCTCAATATACTCAATATAATTGAGTGTTCACCAATAAATCCATAGTACCAAAACACAGAGAAGTTCTTATACACATTTTTACCAACTGAAGTATATACTTACTATCTTCCCTCAACAGGCTCAATATCAAGGGTGTTGATACCACTCCCATGTATTCTTTCCACATCTCTATCTTTATTTAATTCCAAACTTAGAACCCTTAAAACAACAACAAAACAACAACAAAAAAGAAAAACAGAGATATGAACAACAAGAACAACAGAATTGTAGAATATTACTATGTAGCTCTGCACAGCTCAAACCATAGTTTTGTGCTTCCTCAATGCATTTAACCCATCCCCATTATTTTTTGCAAAACTAGACTTGCAGTGACGATACAGGGCTGGAAATAAGTCCTGTGAAGTTGGCAGAAAAAATATTTTATTCTTTATGTTGTTTGGAAGGTAAGAGAGAAATATGCAAAATAGGCTCAAAGAAAAAGCAGAACTGCATTTGCGGTCAACATATGAAACAAAAAACGAAATGTAATTTGAGAACACCGAGCAAAAGAAACATTAAGAAGAAGTTGTAGTCGCAACAAATATTAGTTACTTTGAAGCTTCATCGTGTACCACCACCCTTCCAAGCTTCATCCTACTTGGAACTACGGACACCTAGTGGACAGATTCATTTACTTTTACTAATTATAGTATTTCCTTTAAGGAAACAATGTTTGTGTGTTATGTTTTCTATAACATCAAATAAAGACTATACTATCCACATGAGGAAGCTTCCAAGACAAACTCTTCTGAGCTGCAATTAGTATCTTGTACTACTTAGTAGTAGCCTGTATCTTTAAATATACTAATATTACATAGTCAAAAAAAGACAGATTCTGCTTCCTTAAACCATACTACCCGATAAAAAAAATTCGCTTTACAAGATGATCAGTGCTTCCTGTGGCACTGTTTTATAAAAACCAGTATCAACAAAAATGTAACTAAGTAGATAACTGAAAAGCTGTAAGGCAGAGTGTCCCCACTCAGCTTCAGCCTGAGTGGCAAAAATCTTGATGCCAGAAGCATAGGTTGTTACAGGCAGACCCCCCAACAGCATGTCTGTAGGCATGCTTCAAAAGCAGCAAGTCATTTAAGATCTTTTAAAAGATGTGAAATATAATTATGCAAGAATTCACTTAGAGTAAGCATTTTGACATAAACAAGATACCTAGTTAAAAACTTTTGAGCTCAAGATTTAATTTTAGTGAAGCAAAAACTCCCTTTAAGGAAATGTTTTAAAACATATGACTTTAAAATGTAGTTATAAATACAACCTACTGAAGACTACAGATTATTTCTTTTTAAAGTCAAAATTAAAATGTTTAGGAAGGGAAATGCGAGGTAGGCAGTTGTCCAAGCAATGCAAATTCTGCCCACTGTGCTTTCATTCTTCACACTGAATGCTACACAAGTGCTGAGGGCATAGAAGGGATGTAATCACATTGTCAAAATGCACACAGAAAGGAGTTTCCTGAATCACCAAAGTTCATTTCAATTTTAAACAGACTCTTTTTACAATGATACACCCACAAAAGCTGCATCATTGTATGGGTAAATCACCAACATAAATCCTTCTTGCTGATGGAGTTGTGTGAGCAACTGAACTGAGGTTGGCTTTATTGGCTTTCTCTTGAAATACATCTGCAAAACTGATTCTCTGATAACGAACAAATATTATCACATTTTAACCTTTAGCAGGAATATTAATAAGCCTCTCTATGCAGTCACGACTTTCCACAAAAGCTGTTAGGAACCTAATAAAACCCCTGTGTCTGATTCTTTTGCAACCTGCCAACAGGCCAAGTTTTGGGAAAAGGGAGGACGAACGGGCACACAAGCATCACATAAATCTTGTTTCTTCGGAAAGGAAGGCACAGCCGCATGCAAATTGAAACAGCTGGTGAAACCGCCAAGAGAGGAAGGGCAGCGAGGCTGAGGTACAGCTTATTGCCCTCTGCCTACTCAGCCTACCAAAGCACCGTTGCTCAGCCCACCCCAGAGCTACTAATTCACACACGGGAAAAAAAAAAACAAACAAACAAACAAAAAACAAAAAATCACGGGAAGCCC